AAAAAAGATCAAACATAACGATTTGAGATTCAGTAAAACTGAATCAAAGCGTTGCAGCTTTATCCCGTGGAGCATGCATTTGTCATGGAAGATTAAGACATACTACAAAACGGTGACATTCTCCATATGAACTGTATAAATTAAAGGTAACTGAGACATCACTTGAAAGACATTATAGACATGAAAAAGACATAATTGATGCCGTTTTAATGCGTATAAGATATAAAAGCACCTGACATTTTCTTTCCCTTGGCAATTGCTGCGGAATTACCAGACATTTCACCATAACTTGTGTAAAAAACACAATGTTCGGTAAACAGTGGAATTCCTTTCTTTTGAATGTGTTTAAATTTAAATTTAAACATTAAATATGTTCTTTAAGTCTATTTCACTGCAGGTCCATTTTCAGTCCGTCTAAACACCATTACACTTTGAATTAGCATATGATCGAGGTACATTTTAATTAAAATAATCCGTTACTTTAAAACATCACACTGTACTGCTTAGTTCAAGTGTCCCTTGAGAGAATACCATGTTTTATATATAAATCAATATTAAGCATTATGTTACATCAAATTTCAAAACAAACACAGCATGTATGTAAGCACATATCATTACGAACTTACAATGTAAATACCTATAACATTTCCTTATTGTTTTCTAAAACTGAATATTAGCAATGTCCATACTCGCATCCCAAACTAAATGGCGACACACTGAAAACATGAACTGCATACATGCACAGTACATCGAACATCATAATACTGATAAACACGATTCCAACAAAACATGTGAGCAGATTATTCTGTGACAGTACACATTTTATATATTCGTGCAAATGCTCCCCTCGGAAACATGCTTTGATTCTAGCTTGTCAAGAAAAGAAAATGCCAGGCAAACGAAAGTATACACTTGAAAATTCTGCCCACAATGTGTACTGTGACATTGTGACAAGTGTGGTCCTTCAGACATCATGTGAGGTACTCGTTAATATGAAGCATGCAGTTTTGCCTATGACATCAAGGTTCTACTACACTAAATCAGAACTGGTTGTGACAGTGCGATTTTCGCCTTCAGTGCAGATCAAGAGACATCTGCAGGCTGTGATTGGATGATATTGTGTAAGATTTTTATGTCTTTTAAATGTACATCCATCCAGTAATTAAAACTGCCCATATTTTTCAATATTTGGTGCTGACTTTTTTAACAAGATGACTTGTGCTTTATGTGAGCACAGATATTTTCAAGTAGGCGACATTTGGTGCGGAACTGGGGTTGGTGTGTTCAGCTTCCTGTCCTCGGAAAAGGAGCTGGCTGACCTGGCCAAAATTTGTGTTTTTATTGCAGCTCTAAGGCCAGACTGTGCATATATGTTAATGTAATGGCTTTTGAATGCCTAGTTATTTTTTTAAAAGATATAACGTTACTATAGAAGTCTACGGGAAAACATTTGGTTGTGTGTAACCTCAAATACCTCAACGTTGATGTTTCTATTTTGTTTAATGGTGAGCTTCAATCAAACATGGGTGTATAGTTTATGATGCCCTTCAGTTTCGTTCAACTGACATGTTGGTGCAGTGCACTATACGGAACGAGGCATCCATTTGTGTCTTACTTTAAACATATCCATAATGAATTTTAACTTATTCAATTAACTGACTATCCCATCCATGAGATATTAAAAAATGTCATGGATATTCAAATCCTATTTACACGTATGGTGCATGACTAATGTTGGTTTATTCACGACAAAGAAAGTATTGCGGCAGATGGTGACATGTGTCAAACAGTTGGTAATACTTGTCCCGTGCGTTTCCTTTGCTTCTGCTATTTTCAATGTTATTCATTTTCACTGGCTGGATAGATATTTATAATTAGACATTTATTGGTGCACGTAACACACACGGCCAAGGATAATAGATTTTGTGGGGAGTTTCGCAAAGTATAATTAATCAAAGCGATAAAACCCTTTCCATAATTATTCATAAGAAATCGATTGTAAGATTCCGACTATATCATGAGCATGTGTTTATGGATCACTACCAAATACTGATGATATCACGTATTCGTGAAAGGTTGAGCGTATTCTGCTCAGCCTGCGGCACCGTCACAAACACATACAAAGGCAAATCAATTGCTCTTTAGCAAAAGTTGCCATTACACTTTGTACCTATATATGAAATTGACCGCGGGTGTTCAGCGAGAGGGGCTTTAACCCCAAGGTTATCTCGTCATCATTCATGTCATGGCTTACCACTAATATGAATTCAATTTGTATCATTTGGTTGCGTTAGGTTGTATCTGTTCTTTTATCAAGTAAACGTTTTTTGTTGTTTTTTTATATTTATAATCTGTATATTTTCTGGAGCATTCAAACGGTTTTGCATAACAATATGTTCAAAGCAATAAGGCAAGTTCAAGTTTAGGCACTTCAGGAAAAGTCAATAAGTATGGGTTTAATCCGCTTTCAGCAACATTCTAGAAATATCAAGCAAACACAACACAGGGGCTTCCCCATGTTGGAAATCAAACCCGATCATTCTGCGTGACGAGTGAACGCTTTAACTATTAGGCTACCCCATGTTTGAGGAAGAGTTAACAACACATGTAAGACATATTCTACATCACGATATTGTAGGGGAGGGGGTTTGATTTTAATTCGTTTTGAACAGCATTATATGGAATCCAAAAAGGAACATTGTCACGTTGTCGCCCTTACGAAATCCAACAAAAGGTGTCAACATGAACAACAACGTGATACTTTTACTAATTGTGACTCACACCCACTATCATATATATGTTGGACAAGTTAACGATTTTGCTGAGTCTCACGAGCACGAGTATGGACCAAGATTCATACTCAAGGCAAATACGCGATTCGAATCCAAGATCAGCGGATCCTGATTACTAAAAGGGCGTAACAATGCCAACGATTTGCAATGCGCTAGACAACTGGGCTGTATTTACGTATACGTGTACGTATACGTGACCACGCATATTGATTCAGACCGTCTCTGTGGTCAAGTGGACAGCGTCAGAGCGGAAGGTGTAGCATGACACACACACACACACACACACACACACACACACACACACACACGTCGCTATGTGAGGGCAATATTATTTAATCCCCATTTTACCTCACCTCAGCTCACATATTGATTCATGGTTTACGGATACAGACAAGGAATCTTAAAGTTTCCTCACAATAAGTATCCTAACTTTTTGTATTTATTTTAATTCGTTTTTTGTTGACTCGACAAATATTGTGTAATCATATCATTCCCCGTCTAGGCTCTAACATGTTGACAGTAAATTCTGTCATAACCGACACGTGTAGAAACGAGGAGAAGACCCTTCCAACTTGCTTTGTTATCGTATATTCCCACAGCTCCCGCCTGTCAGTCCAGTTCAGAAGTCAATATCTTCAGACGTTACTTATTGAATTTTTCATCCTGCCTTCTGACAGCTTCAAGCTTCCTTCCGAAAACGACATGAAACAAATGTGGCATAGCTTAATTCTCAGAGTGGGTGCTTCAGATGAATAATTGAAACTATGTTTACCAATAATATTGGTTACACGGATGTATAGCACCATATTAGGAACGTTACTTTTTTGTAATTGTTTCATGATCATGCACATGTTTGTTTGTTTGTTGTTTAACGCCGCACTCAAAAATATTCTAGCTATATGACGGTTTATGCACATGTTAGCACATTGGTCCAGTTGTCCTAGGCGCTTTGCAGAGTTGCTTGCCTTTTGCGTGCCAGAACACTATGGTCGTGGGTTCGATTCCCAAATTCGCCCAGATAATGATTCTTGGTTTGGCAGCACCATACTCGAGCTTTTTGATTCAGAAAGGGTACGTTATACACGTCCCAGCCCTGCTTCTTTTTGGGCTTGCCTTACAAAATCAACTGCATCTGGCACGCTGTAATACATCTGAAATGTGGTTCAAAACGACGTTTAACCCAACTCTCACTCACTCTCACGACGGATGGTAGTGGTTTGACAGGACAATGGCATGCTCACCTGTCTCACTCACACTCACGACGGATGGTAGTGGTTTGACAGGACAATGGCATGCTCACCTGTTTCACTCACACTCACGACGGATGGTAGTGGTTTAACAGGACAACGGCATGCTCACCTGTTTCACGAACACTTGATGTCATCACATGGTTGATGGTTCTTGATTGTTCGTCAGTTACATTTCGGTTTGACTCAACCTTTCTTGTGAGAGATACGAATATTAACATCACCTGGGCTTTGTAATTTCTAGGGAACCAAAGATAGTTTGTGACTTATATTATCTCGTTATAACGATTATAACTATTTCACATTAAAGGAGTGAGTGTGGTTTTACGCCGCTTTTAGCAATATTGCAGCAATATCACGGCGGGGGACACCAGAAATGGGCTTCACACATTGTACCCATGTCGGGAATCGAACCCGGATCGTCGGCGTGACGAGCGAACGCTTTAACCACTAGGCTACCCGACCGCCCCACATTAAAGGAACATTGACATGTGATGAAGTAAGAACCGACTCCTATAAAACTATAAGTGTGTTATCAAATAGCAAGATGTAACGACTCAAAGCTGCAATTACGATTAAATATGGTTCGCAATACCCACGCACTGTTCTTAGAATGATTATCATATTAATCAAACATTATGTCTAACATACACTAAGTGTCTTTTATACGGGATACACACGTGGAACGCGTTTGCGGAATACACGTTACGTATCTAGCATTGACACCTTCTCAATTCGGAATATTGATGCAGATGCTCTGCAGAGCAGACAAATAAATGAACAGTAGTGTTACTACAGTAAACAGATGCTGATACATACCACAGCGAATAGGCGACGTCCCTGCGTGTGCAAGGATAAACAGTGGTCCTGATATTCCAATCGATCGCACCATCCCACTAGTATGGTAAGATGCAATTGACGAACCAATTGGTTGGCGATGCCAAACTCAGCAGATGGAATCTTTAAATGGATAATTCCAGCAAGGGTCCCATGTGAGTGGATATAATTGGCATCAGAGCCTAATCTTAACTTGCCTTTGGACTGTTTTTTCAACTGCATGTCTCAGTAAGTCTCAGATTGGATAAATCTGCTTTATTCGCATACGATAAGCTTCGAAAGTAAACTGGTTATGTGGTTTAATTCAAATCTGAAACGAAGAACGACAGAACAGTTCCCCTGTCAGCAGATTTGATCGTTGTGTTCAAGGCAGAGGGCGCTTACTCGGAGAGCCCCTCCTATCAACGAAGCTGCATCCCGAACCCGCAGGTTTAACGGTGATGTAGCGTGGCGTTTTCATCCGAGCTTGCATTGATGGACAGGTAGTCTGCAGTACAGAGCAGACAGGACGTTTACAACGCTTATTTTCGTATAAAGTTGACTCAACGTTCGAGCTGGGCTGGGCATTATGTAGAAGTGTTGACATAAAGTATAGTCGACACACTGTGGTTGTATTATAGCGTTGTGGATTGGGATGTTGTGTCGGTAAATTGAATTTGGGTCCAACAGAAGAAGCGTCTTTGCACGGTGACGTTGATTGACAGGCTTGGTGGGAACGTCATCGGCCGTTGTCGTGTATATATCGTCTCTAATCAACGCTTGTCACACAAGCAGGAGGAATTAGCATCGTTACACGCGGCAGGCGCTACGACAAATCGGAGATAAGAACGTGACTCTTTGGGAGTTGGGTCTGTGCGTGTCCTGGCCAGGAGGCACTTACAGGCTTTGTCATGAGGACACACTTAAAGATTGAAGATGAGCTGAAAGGGCGATTTTCATAGTTGGAGATTAGATTTTGTTGGCACGACGGGAACGTCAACATCGACGTCCGAACGTCAAAATGGAAGTGAGCACGAGAGGCTTTCCCAACGTCACTCAACCACCCCCCGAGTCTCTGAACCCGGGGGTGCAGGTATTTTTGGTGTTGTTATATTCAGCTGTGTCAATTGTCTCCGTCATCGGTAACGGCATGGTGTGCTACATTGTCGTTACCACACGTCGTATGCGAACTGTGACCAACTTTTTCATCGCAAGTCTGGCCGTAAGTGACATCCTCATGGCAACCCTGTGTGTCCCGTTCACCTTTGTTGCTAACATTCTTCTTGATTACTGGCCGTTTGGGGTAGCGTTGTGCCCCCTTGTTACATATCTTCAAGCGGTTGTGGTGTTCCTCAACGCGTATATCCTCCTAGCCATTAGTTTAGAACGATACATTGCCATCATGTTCCCTTTCAAACCAAGACTGCCTAAACGAAAGTCGTTGTGGGTGATTGCCGTTTGCTGGGCATTATCGTTGCTGACGCCGCTCCCCACTGCTATAACGTCACTGACGGTGACGGACGATATCGACAACGTAACATTGTGCCTGGAAGTTTGGCCAGTGCCCAATCAAAAGTTTGCCTACAGTGTGGTCATCATGGTGCTTCAGTACTTCATCCCTCTCGGTGTGCTCATCTTCACCTATGGTCGCATCGTACACGTCGTATGGCTAAAAGACGTACCCCCAGGAGAAAGCGAGGACACTACGGATCCCAAGAAGAAGGTGAGCTATATTTATGTCGACCTGTAGGTATTTGAAATAGTCATTCGTGCTCTATGTTTTAGGAAGGGACTAAAATCAGAATTGAATGGTTTAATGTCCGTTGCGTCATTTAATTCTTAAATCTCAACCTTGGATATATCGAATTCGGCTGAAGTATAATAGAAACCCATTTATGAACCCAATTAGAACTCCGGTTACAACGAACTGCAAGAACCACTAGGGTTAGTTATATGCGGGTTTGTATATTTCATATAATTAGTGAGAAAAACGAAAAACTATGTCCTGTTGGAAGTGGGTGTTCATTCTATCAACCACTGGTTTGGTTGCTCCAAGGCCGATAACAAAGTAAAATATCACACTGTTGTGTTATAGTTGTGGTATTGCTGACACAGCGTAACACATTCACTTGTATATTATCTTTTAAGTAGGAAAAATGAAAGAAAAAGAAAACACATTCCGGATTCTTTGAACTCGATAATGCGTGTGAATCTAATCGTCAAGGCTCTAAAAACAGACCTTCGTAATCGGTTCATGAGGCGCAATGTCAGTTACAAGATGGATTATGGAACTAAACGTGACTGTGCCACAATTAGAAGATATTTAACTTCAAAGGCTACAAAACTACATCGTGCAACATGAAAATTGCGACCGGGTTCTTTGTGTAAACTGTTAAATGTAACATTTCCCGATCAATATCAGAACCTTTGTCCTACACGACATGTATGAATGTTTTATGAAGCCAGCATGTCCTCAGACATAAAATTCTGATTGCAGTACCAGCCTGTCCAGTTGCCAGGAACACTACTCCGTTGTCGATACCATCTAATGCTTAATCGCTCACTGCAGTAGCAGATTATTTAGCTTCATCATAGAATTACCACGATTATGATACTTGACCTGTTAGCATCATGTCCGGGCTCAGGATTTCACCTGAGTGGTAAATATCTACGACCTTATTTCTAGGTCTCGTCATCAGCTTTTTTCTCCACATTAATCTCCTACGCGGTGATGTTCATGAAACCATCATCATATCCACTTCCTCATCATCATTACCATCATCATTTTGATCATCAACGTCGTCGTCAAAGTCGTCGTTGTCGTCATACTACTACTACTACTATTCCAAATGATGATGATGATGATGATGATGATGATGATGATGATAATAACATTTATGAAAATAATACACTTATGCGCCACTCAGTGACAAGACATACTATCGCCCGGCCCAACAGATCAATGTGTATAAATATGGAGTCATCATGAGATGCAAAAGGGGAAGGGAGAATAACACTTAACAGTAATGCCGAAGTTACAAATGAAGATGCTTCGCTATGTCTGGATGAAATACCAAGCACCTCTGTGGAATAGATTGTGACGCAACTTCTTCAAAACACACAGAAAAGAACCTCCACTTATGTCGAACATTCTTGCATTCCTGAATCAATCTTAGCAGTGAATGAGTGTGTAAGGTTTTATACCTTACCTTGGGTAAACAGTATCACGGTGTGTGTGTGTGTGTGTGGGGGGGGGGGGGGGGGGGGGGGGATGGGGAGAGACACCAGAAATGGTCTTCGTTCATTGCATTAATGTTGGAACTTGTACCCGGGCCTTTAACCACTAAGCACGCTGAAGAAGTGATGCGAAAGTGTCAGTGATTTATGTACATTTTCGTAGTTTTCTTCTCCTTACAATAAGTAAGAACCTGCATGTTAAACCATATACATGTACCGCTGATGGTTAGCATTTAGTGAGTAAGAGTTTATGGTTACGCCGGCAAAATTGGAACCATTTGTGACCGTTAAATGAGAGATTTGTGAACGCTTATTCAATATTACTTATATAAAATGTTACCATCTTCATCAAACCGCAAGGTATTTATTGAATATTCAAACTCGCTTCAATGACATTAATAGAAAGGTAATAGCTAAAAAAAGCGATACCAGACAGATGTATACACACTATTAACATCATAATGACATACACAAGAGGTTTCATACTGATCGCAAAGTTGGCACGGGTGAAAAGAGTGGGAGCTGTTAAAAAACGCGCGCGACTCGCTCGCGGCGAATAACGCGTTCGTTAAAGGAGGCAAAGGAGTCGTTGCTTCACCGAAAAAAGATGCTCTAGCGATTTTGAGCTATCTGACTGTATAGGTCATGAACATTTATATCCCCATGGCTACATCCGTCGAGCGTGATGGCACTTACATGTCTTGGCTAACCAAAGCAAAATACAGGACTTTCTTTCTAGTAATTTGTGGATGAATACATTTTAAAAGCATAGCAAGTAACTAAGCCAATTTGTCAGTTGTGGCCTTCGGCCGTTTTGTGTACAATGTAAGAAAGCATCTTCCAAAATCAAGTACTTCAGAATGGTTGGGGGCAATCTTCAGGCGCTCGGGAAGGAGTTTGGAACTCTACAAGTGTTACGATGAGTTGTAAAACAGTGTACCCGTACCGTGAGTCAATGATAATCATCCTCAACAGATGTTTTAGCCGAAAGGAATGTACGAACACGCAATAACACTCAGCAAATAAAAGGTCTATGTGGGTTATGACGTCGAATGTGTCCCGGGCAAGTCAAATGTTAACCATAAGAAAAAATAAAACACAAATGTAATGTAACTTTAACCATATTGTTGCATTCGAAACTGAACGGTGGTAATAATTATATTAAATACGTGGCTTAAAAGATCAATCCTCTCACCAAAATGACAGAAACGGGTCACCTGGCGTTCTTTTAATGGGTATTGGGAGGGAAACCTAAAACGTTACCCCCAAACCCTTTCAAAATGCTATACATCTCCTGTGGGGAATGGCATTAACCATGCGTTACATCGTATAACGAACACTCAAAACTGTTTGGTATAATTTGAATCTTAAGATTTGTGTACATGTTTATTTTTAAATAGAATTTTTTTTTTTTTTTAAAGCCAAATTAAACACCATCACACTTTAATCTGAATTAGAGTATTTATTTCCTTAACTTAACAAAAAGATTCATAAGAACATCACCATCAAAGTTATCTTATGGTAATACACTAAACTTAATATTTTGTGAATGTAATACTATACTCACCGCCAGAAGAAACGCGAATCATAGAAACATATAGAGAAGTATGTACGTTGAGAAGAGATGTTTCCAGTATGTACTAATAAATGACAAAACTAACAATCAGTCAAGTGTTAAAACAGAGTGACTTTATTGACATCAAAATAGGCTGCAAGTGATTTCCAAACTTTACACACTAATCTTGGAAGAGACAAATGTTGCATCTCGAGTCATTTATCTATGACGTCACATAGGATGAGTTCATAAGGATCGTTTCACACAGCATACCAGTATGTTCGTTTGTGCATCGAACCAATCTAACAGGTCTGGAATATGAGTAATGTTTTTATATAGTCACCAGCATGTTTGGCATACGCGTTTCTTTTGGCGGTGCGTATACAAATGAAGTAACTGTATATACATTGTACTAAAGAACATTGCGTATATCGCTTGTCGTGAAGGGAAATTTGAACTTGAGTTTCATAGTTTATAGTGTAATTTGCACATCAGTTGATTGAATTTCTGCTGAAAACATATCGTCATTAAAGAACAAACCAACCTTCTTGAGCAACGATACTCTTTATTATCCCAGTATCACACAACCCCCCACAAGAATAAATGGCTTAACGGATAGATGGTTACGGTAATAGTGTTTCAGCACAATGCTGAAAATAGACTGAGTGAGTGAGTGAGTTACGTTTAACGCAGCTTTTAACAGTATTACGGTTATATCGCGGCGTGTCAGCTTAATGTGGGAGGAAAGTCCGAAGTGATGCAGGTCTCAGACGTTTACTACTTTGATGAAACCCACGAGCACGGGTATGGTGCTGACAAACCTTAAAACATAATCGAGGCGAGCCGGGATTCGAACCCACAATCATAGGTTACTGGCGTGCCCAAGGGACACACATCTGCACAGCGAATCGCGGCGCCTCAGACGACTTGGACATCCGTGCCCCCGCTGAAACTAGTTCTCCCAAGATCATATTGTGTTGAATGTATGTTATTTTTCTAAATCATTCATTCCCTTGGAGGACAGACAACACAAGAATGTCACGAAATCAAAAGAACAAATTCCAACACAAACGTCATTTCAGGATGAATACACAATCTGATATCTCCATCCACTGATACTAATCTAATAGCAAAATATCAATAACATTCATAACATGGTTTTGTCCGGATATGTTTTTCTTCAAGAACAAACCTGTGGGAATGGTCCAGGGATTAGGGGGATAAACCAACACGTTCTCCTCGCGTCGGGTCCTTCAATACCGACATGGACTTCCTGCATGGTCGGTCCGTATCCACACTCCAGTTACAAGCTTGTTCCTTCATTATCGAACTGAGACATAAAAACACTCTCGGTGGAGACTAATTTGGAGAGTTTTACAGTTTAATCGACAATGCAATTATAATCGATGCTGTTAAACTCTAGAGAATTCCTGTTGAGATTTCCGTTTCTCTGTAAGATCGACGCGGAGGGATGTTCATTGTATTGTCATGAATATTCATTTAACCCATTGTCTCATCGTTTTATGTCAAGTGTTTGATGGTTGTTTATCCTTATGATATAAACTTTCGCTGAGGTTTTATACTAGCTAATGCTTAAATTACCTGTTTCGCAGCTGTTGAGATGTTATGCGATGTAAGAGCATTGCGTGTAACATTCCCTTGTAAACAAACTCTCGTTTCTCATAGTGGTCCTTTGTCACCATCCAACGATCGGGATGTGTCACACCTGTTTATTCTTGTGTCTTAATTATAAGAATCAGGGTGTTTCTGCTTTTGGGAGCCACGGAAACGACAGACATGTACACATATCCTTCATGATCATTTATACAATATTCCTTGTAAGTCTAATATGGCTTTGAACATTGCCCTTATCAGAGGTATCAAATTTAATTACACACCTCAGATTTAAGGCATAATTTATATGGCTGGAA